AATGAAAGATTGTTGAAGCAAGATGGTATTGAACCCTTGAGCTTATTGCGTGAAAGATCTATTAAGGTGATATCTTGTAATTGGCATAATTGAACAGGGATGTAACCAGAAAAATTATTCCCTCCAAGTAAAAGCACTCGTAATTCTGATAGTTTATCAATCATGTAGGGAATATTCCCAGAAAAATTATTATCCCTCAAGTCTAGAGTTGTTAGGCTTGTTGGGTTCTCAAAGAATCTGAGAGGTATGGAGCCTGAGAAAGCATTCTTTTGCAGATACAAGACCCTCAAGATTGATGGATTAACATGTGAGATTGACCCAGATAATCTATTTTGTGAAAGATCCAACACAAAAAGCATCACTAGGTTGGAGAATTCAATGGGGATTTCACCTTCCAATTGATTATTTCCCATGAGAAGAATCCACACACGTGATAACTTTGCAATTGAACTAGGAATTGAGCCTGAGATTGAATTGCTGGATATGTCTATTACCATTAATCCATTACCATTCAAATTTTGCAATACTTCTTTCAGAGTGCAATTGAGGTTGTTGTTATTGACAAACAAGATTGACAAAGATGTAAAATTGGAAAATTTAGGAATATTCCCATGGAAAAGATTGTTGGAAAGCCTTAATTCTTGGAGGCTAATGCACCCGATTGCTAATTCATCAGGCAATTCACCTGAGAAGTGATTGTGAGACAAATCCAAGGAGGAAAGTTCTTGCATTTCACCAATTGAAGTAGGTATACTTCCTTCAAAGTTATTTGTTGACAGATTTAACCTCCTAACCACAGGAAGGAATGTACCAATATCTTTTGGGAGTGAACCAGAAACATTGTTGTTTGAGATATCTAGCCAAGTTATATTTTGTCTGATGGAGAACAATTCAAGTTTTCCATCAAATAAGTTATTCGAAACCAAGAAATATTTGAGTCTTGAGTTATTTTGAATCAACCAATTTGGAAATGCTCCAACCAATTTGTTGTACGAGATGTCGATATATTGGAGCTCTTTCTGATATTGGAGAAAACTTGGAATAACACTTCCTTTATCCAAATTTAAGTTGCAACTTCGAAGGATGAGATACTTTAACTGAAATGTTGGAAACCATTGTTCATTTTCAGTTTCAACTTGTGTTTTAGGGCTTGTTGGAGAAATATAAAGAACCTGAAGTTTTGAATGGTTAGCCAAAATACTCAATGAAAATGAGCCTTGTAAGTTGTTGTCAAAGAGAGACAAATATGAAAGGGATGTCATATTTCCAATGAAGGATGGAAAAGTGCCACTGAATTGATTTTGAGAAAGATCAAGAACTTGGAGGTTTCTGAAGATGCTTAGACACTCTGGAATTTCACCGCTAAACCTATTTGAGTTGAGACCTAACTCTATAAGATCTTGAATTTCATATAATCCTGAAAATGTAATAAAATCATGGTTTTATTAAGGTTTTATAATGAGAAATGGACCTTAACTAGAGCAAAATAATTAAAATTAATGTTACACCATTAAATACTAGGAGGCATTAAGGTTAAGAGATAATATTAACTATTANAAAGGACAAAGTTATTACCGTAACTAAATGAAGATATTTAATTGATTGAAATGGTGCTAGAACTAGGACAAAGTTATTACCGTAACTAGACTAAGACCAAGCCTTGGTCAGAATAAAGTCTTGTAATGAATAAACAAAGAGAAGATGATTGTAAACAAAGAGAAGAGGATTGTCCCACTTCTGCCATCGAATTTTTGTTTTAAAGAAAAGAAAAAGCGAAAAGTTGAAGTTGAACAATGATGCACCTTGAGGCTAGTTGTATGATTTGGTATAAAGATTCAAGGGAAAAACATAAAGGATCTGCAGTACTACGAAGCATGGCCTATATGCACGGTCATAGTAAAGATGTAGAGATATTGTGACCAATTTTGTACTAAAATATTGTATTCCCCATGCACCAGGAGATACAGTCTGAACTTTTTAAAATAATGCACCTAATTCATTAACCCATTACTTAACTTATGAAATCTAAATCAGTTAACACATATCAAAACACATTGAGGTTATGGTTATTAAACAGATTGAAGATAAGATGATTACTGTTATTCTTAGATTTAATAAATTAAGACAACCTAATCTAGTTCAATTAAGCATGTATCGGATAATAAGATTATTCATTTTAAATCAACATACTATGAATCAGACTTGTAACCACTTTCCGCCAACCTATTACTAGTTTTCAACCATACTTTAGTCCAAACAGATAACTCCTCCGAAGGAAAACATAAAGGCATCATATGCTGGCTGCACTTAAACAACCAAAGATATAGTCACGTGAAACATCTAGGAAATAAGAAAAAAAAGACTCAAACCCATTAATAAGCATTGCACTTAAATTCTAGTAAGTTCTAAGACGTCTAAACTTCCAACAAGATCACAGAACCACTTCCCCCACTCTCTCTCTTTCACTTGATAGATTCAACGTCACTATACCCTTTTCCCAAATCAGTTTATGAACAGGCCAAACAGAGCATATAATGAAAATTTCTAGAACCCAAACACAAACTACTTACCATTTCATCAACACCAAACTTGATGGAATTTAACATAAATTACATAATTCATCAAGTGCGACTCAAACCACTCACATTTACACTACATTTCAATAAAACATACAATCACCCAATGTGTAATGACATTCTAGTTTTCAATCAACATTTCAACCCACCGTAAACACAAGGCACTCAAATAAAATCTTTATCAAATAAAACAAATAAAGCAACAAAACACTCGATATGAAAAATAGATCAACCAAAACCCCACTACACCACACACGCATCTAACTAGATACATTTCTTCTAATAATAAAATCATTTATTCAATGCAATGTTTAAAGAAGTGTCCTGGTTGCAACATGCCCTTAAAAAGACAATTAGAGAAAAACCCTACAATGAACTACAATATACTATAGGAACAACTTCATTTCGGTCACAAAAAAAAGGAAAATAAAACGTACCGAAGCAAAGGTTGGGCTATCAGTAGCAACACATCTTGTGCAATCACAGGGTACCCAGAACAGGTCACTTCCGGTATCAAGCGCCACCATGAACTTCACTCCCGATGTCCTATTTCAATTGTCGTATGAATCTCCAGAAGAAAAAGAAAAGGTTAAAGAAAACCAGAAACCAATCTCCAAAACACATTACTGACAAAAATTCGTAACATCACCGAAATCATTAACAAAGAATGATCAAACTCAAACATTATTCACATCTAAATAGTAATTTCTTCTTTCTAAACATGGCCAATCTCATTCAAAATTCAAACCTTAAGTCATTGTCACTTCATTAAACTGATAACTAAATTATTATAAAGAAATTATTAATCAATTTAAATAAAAACTCCTAGAGGTGGTCGTGGTGAACGTGTAAACGTGGTCGTGGCACTAGCAAAACTCCTAGAGGGAGATGAAGGTGACAACAACGACGAAAACGAAAACAAGCATTTTCTTCGTTTGGCACCTTTACGCTAACCCTCTCCCGATAAATCCCGCATTGCTTGGTGGAGCCTAGGGTTTGGCATGGTGGAACAAGAGAAGATCTTGGCGTGACGTGACTGACATCTTGGATCGAAACAGTGTCGTTTAAGGTCACTGTGATGATGTCTGTATATGGAGTGAGCGAGTGCTTTATAATATGAAAATGCCAAAGCCATGTGAGTGGGTCTCACCATTGCGCTTTCATTTTTTAACGCTTTCCAGCTCTCCAATGCGTGCAAGTCGGCGACTTTCTGAGCGGCCTCAGCTTGTCGTTTCTCAGAGCGAGGACGAGCGGCAGCGGTGATGGCAGAGTCAACCTCTCTCTCCAATGTCTCAACTCGTTGCTGGAGCAGTTTGATGGAGCGGGCTTGGTCAGCGGTAAGGAAGGCTTTGGAGAACGTGTCTTCGTCGATGAAGATGGCTTTGGTGAGAAGAAGCTTCTGGAGAGATTCGAGATTGCGATGCAGGGAAGAGAAATTAGAATTGTGAAGAGGGAAAATGTGGTTGTAGAGGGAACGCGAAAATGTGATTTAGGAGATATTGTGATAGGTTTTTTAAAATTTGGGGGCAAATACGAACTGAAATTTGGGGGCAAATACGAAGTCAAATTTGGGGGAATGGGTTTGATGAATCTAAACGAAGCGAAACTGAAAATTTAGAAAACGAGGGAAATTTTGAAAGAAGCTCCCAAAGAGAAATGTAAAAGAGCACGCAGCTGTTTCAAATAACGCTATCTATTGTGTTGAAATAGACCGCGTTTTTTAAAACAAACGCTATCTTTTAGCTTATTTTAAATTATGAATAAAAAAGATAATATTAATTATTTATAGACAGTGTTTTTTTTAAAAAGCGCTATCTATGGTCATAGGTTTAGATAGCGTTTTTTTAAATAAGAGCTATCTATTGTTCCGTGCATTAATAGATAGCGCTTATTTAAAAAAGCGCTATCTATTGAGCGCTATCTATGATCAATTCTGTAGTAGTGGCGACTGTGTGGTCCGAAGAATCATGATTCTCTTCTAGTCCAAATGAAAGATTGTTGAAGCAAGATGGTATTGAACCCTTGAGCTTATTGCGTGAAAGATCTATTAAGGTGATATCTTGTAATTGGCATAATTGAACAGGGATGTAACCAGAAAAATTATTCCCTCCAAGTAAAAGCACTCGTAATTCTGATAGTTTATCAATCATGTAGGGAATATTCCCAGAAAAATTATTATCCCTCAAGTCTAGAGTTGTTAGGCTTGTTGGGTTCTCAAAGAATCTGAGAGGTATGGAGCCTGAGAAAGCATTCTTTTGCAGATACAAGACCCTCAAGATTGATGGATTAACATGTGAGATTGACCCAGATAATCTATTTTGTGAAAGATCCAACACAAAAAGCATCACTAGGTTGGAGAATTCAATGGGGATTTCACCTTCCAATTGATTATTTCCCATGAGAAGAATCCACACACGTGATAACTTTGCAATTGAACTAGGAATTGAGCCTGAGATTGAATTGCTGGATATGTCTATTACCATTAATCCATTACCATTCAAATTTTGCAATACTTCTTTCAGAGTGCAATTGAGGTTGTTGTTATTGACAAACAAGATTGACAAAGATGTAAAATTGGAAAATTTAGGAATATTCCCATGGAAAAGATTGTTGGAAAGCCTTAATTCTTGGAGGCTAATGCACCCGATTGCTAATTCATCAGGCAATTCACCTGAGAAGTGATTGTGAGACAAATCCAAGGAGGAAAGTTCTTGCATTTCACCAATTGAAGTAGGTATACTTCCTTCAAAGTTATTTGTTGACAGATTTAACCTCCTGACCACAGGAAGGAATGTACCAATATCTTTTGGGAGTGAACCAGAAACATTGTTGTTTGAGATATCTAGCCAAGTTATATTTTGTCTGATGGAGAACAATTCAAGTTTTCCATCAAATAAGTTATTCGAAACCAAGAAATATTTGAGTCTTGAGTTATTTTGAATCAACCAATTTGGAAATGCTCCAACCAATTTGTTGTCCGAGATGTCGATATATTGGAGCTCTTTCTGATATTGGAGAAAACTTGGAATAACACTTCCTTTATCCAAATTTAAGTTGCAACTTCGAAGGATGAGATACTTTAACTGAAATGTTGGAAACCATTGTTCATTTTCAGTTTCAACTTGTGTTTTAGGGCTTGTTGGAGAAATATAAAGAACCTGAAGTTTTGAATGGTTAGCCAAAATACTCAATGAAAATGAGCCTTGTAAGTTGTTGTCAAAGAGAGACAAATATGAAAGGGATGTCATATTTCCAATGAAGGATGGAAAAGTGCCACTGAATTGATTTTGAGAAAGATCAAGAACTTGGAGGTTTCTGAAGATGCTTAGACACTCTGGAATTTCACCGCTAAACCTATTTGAGTTGAGACCTAACTCTATAAGATCTTGAATTTCACATAATCCTGAAAATGTAATAAAATCATGGTTTTATTAAGGTTTTATAATGAGAAATGGACCTTAACTAGAGCAAAATAATTAAAATTAATGTTACACCATTAAATACTAGGAGGCATTAAGGTTAAGAGATAATATTAACTATTAGTTTAAGGTATCCTTTTATAAACATTTATACCTGGAATTTCATAAAAAGAAAACTAGCTAATATATATATGGTTATCAAACACTCGAGTTAACTCGTAAATTCGTAAGAGTTTACGATCTCAGACATAGCTTCTAAGTTAATTCGGAAGTAAACTCGTTTTTTGCATAAACTCAATAGAATCGACTGTGAAATCGGTATGATCATGTAAAATCACGAGTTTAGAGCGATTCTGCGAGCTTAAAAGTTATATGTTTAATAAAATGCATCAAAACTAATGACAATAAATCAAATATTTATGTTTTACAATATTTATTTTTATGAACAATATAATTATAAATTTTATTTATTTAAAGTTATATAATTTTGTAGACTTATTTAAATTAAGATATTATTTATATAATTTTTTTCATCTGAAACAAAATCTTACCAGTTTACAAGTTGAGTTTACGAGTCGAGTTACAAGTTTACATAAATTCTCAAATTTAATAATAAACAAAGCTAGTTTTATATACTTGTATGATTATTACCTTCAATTGAGCCGTATAAATTATTTGTGCCCAAGTCTAACACTTTCAACCTTCGCAAATTTTGAATATCTGCAGTAGAAAAAATATTGTTAGAGACAGAATAATAATTATGAAAAAATTGATGCAGATTACTAGTTTAATTGTTATATTATTTTAATTTTTAAATATATTTTAAGTAATTGGTAAATAAAAAGAAATTAACCTTTGAGGAAAACAAATACTCTTTTAAGAAAAATTACCTTTCGTAATTTTAAGTAATTTGTCAATACTAAGAAATGATATACTAATTTACTATACTAACGACTCATACTAATTTCAAATTTAGTCTTTAGGAAATAAAATCATATTTGATTAAATTTGAGAGTGCAATATAATATTTTCAAATTTTAAGAAATTAAAAAATATTTATCCTATATTTTAATGAAAAAACATAATTAAACCAAAATAAAAATAAACAAATTAACAAGTCAAAATGAACTTTATGAACTTTTTCTTTAGATAAATGTTATGATAAAAGGTTAGTAATTCTAAAATTACTCACTACGTTAATACTTTCAAAATTATCAATAATGTTTGACATAAATAGCAATGACTTGTATCTTCTAATCTTAATCTTAATCAAAGGTTTATGTTAAAATAGTAACGGTGAATTTATATGTACAATAAAATATGTTAGGAAGAAAGTTTTTTCACTCATGTAAGTGTAATTTTAAACAAACATTATAGAAATTGATAAATTTTAAAAAATCTATGCATAAGCTGTGTTTGCATGATATGACTATAATGTGAAGAAGTCAAATATGTACGATACAATTTCAAACTTCTTAAAGGGAAGTGGTTGGTCTTAAACAACTTTGATTTTTATTTTTTTCAAATTTAAACAAAAGTTGTACAAGAACGAAACTATTTAAATATAATATAAAAATAATTAAAGTAATATTATTTTTGCATAAATTTAGNTTTAGATAAATGTTATGATAAAAGGTTAGTAATTCTAAAATTACTCACTACGTTAATACTTTCAAAATTATCAATAATGTTTGACATAAATAGCAATGACTTGTATCTTCTAATCTTAATCTTAATCAAAGGTTTATGTTAAAATAGTAACGGTGAATTTATATGTACAATAAAATATGTTAGGAAGAAAGTTTTTTCACTCATGTAAGTGTAATTTTAAACAAACATTATAGAAATTGATAAATTTTAAAAAATCTATGCATAAGCTGTGTTTGCATGATATGACTATAATGTGAAGAAGTCAAATATGTACGATACAATTTCAAACTTCTTAAAGGGAAGTGGTTGGTCTTAAACAACTTTGATTTTTAATTTTTTCAAATTTAAACAAAAGTTGTACAAGAACGAAACTATTTAAATATAATATAAAAATAATTAAAGTAATATTATTTTTGCATAAATTTAGTTTAAATCAAATTATACTAAGCCAGAATAATTTTGCAGAATTTTAATTCAAATAAAATTATAAAAAATTGTGTCAAAAGTTCAAATCAAATTACACCAAAATCGTACCACTCTTACATGAGTTCAGTTCAAGTTAAAAAAAAATACAAAACGAAAAAAGTGGTATAAAACTAACACAACTTCTTTAATAAGTATAAGTTTAATAAGTATAAGTTCTGCCATACATACACGACTTCTTTACGAATGAAAACATGTCATATAAACATGAATTAAAAGTAATTTTTTTAAAATTTGTCCATTTCCATAATTTTTGTTTAAAAATAACATCATATGAGAAAAACCAAGAAAGTATTTATGATATAAACTAAAGATCGTGATCATAAATAAAAAGTTAAAAAAAAAATGAAAGAAAGAGGTACATACCCATATCAGATAGAATACCATTCATTGAGTTATCTGAAAGCTTTAAGTTCTCCAACTTCATCAATCTTGGAAACCCTTCAAAGAAGCATATACATTACAAAATTCTACTTTGAGCTTGAATAAAAAATTTGAAGTAGAAAGAGGAATTTGATGCAATAGTAAAATATGAAGGAGAAACTAACCTTTGCTAATCCAACCTTGATAGTCGTTCCTGGATAAGTCGAGGCTGAGCAACTCTTGAAAAGGACTAAACAACGAACCGTTTATCAAATGAGCACCTCTTGAATTGAGACTGTCCAGAAACAAGTGTGTTACGTGTTGTTCACTTGAGATATTGGAACATTTGACTCTGTTCCAAGCACAACAATCACTACTTCTATTTTCAACCCATGAACCCAATTCCAACTCATTCTGCTCATCCCGACCTAGTGATAAGATATAGCTCTTGATTTCAAGTAGACCGATTCTCTCCTTCTCCAAACACCCATCACACTCTAAAAGTACCACAAAGTACAACAACAAACTCACCACCACACCCAACCTCATTTCTAAGCAAATATGAACTCATTTCCTTCCATTTCTTACCAATACATATAATATATCATGCAAAACTCTTTGAAATTTCAACAAAGGAAAATTTAGGAGACTTGCTGCTTCCATTTCAAACTTTTAAGAAGTCTTTGCCGTGAGATTCTGGCTAAAGGTGTTTTTTCATTGGCTTGACAATGAGTGTAGCATTAAAGTATTTTGGGCGTGTTGTTCCGTCACTAGTTTCCAATCACAAAGACAGTTTCAAAAAGAAGATTGAAATTAATGAGGGGTGGGACAAAATTTCTTCCTATGTCAAATGAAGCTGCTATGAACGAAATCAAGTCACATCCTATATCTCTTTCACACACAGGCTTCAGCACCTCTTGTTTAAAACTCTAACTGTTTAATCCGTATGTGCCGATCATCTTCATCCAAAATATTAGGTTAATTAATATCCAATTTTATATACTGAAGTTAATACGATTACTGTGTACGAGACTTCTTCAACGCTGTCATGAAAAGTATTGAACGCATTGATCTAATGTAAAATTACTTGTCTCTAAACCAAAATAGAATTATATTATTGATATTGAATGCTTTGGAGTTAAATGAAATGTTGCAAAATCACGAAAAAGTAATGATTCTAAAGTTCAATTTAGAAAATCATAATATCACCTTAAGCAAACGTGATAAGTTCATGTAATAATATAACAATTAGTAGTGCAAAAAAGACATTTTGACTCATTATGAGACCTATCTAAATCATATCTTCCTGAATACTTTAAAATATTGAAATAATAAAATTATATAAACCTTTTTCATAAACAAAAATAACTTTATACTCTTTATTTTCAAAAAATATTCACTAAACTTTTCCAAAAGTCAAAATACATAAATTGATTATAAGTAGAAAAACAAACCAAGTTATAGATCAAGTAGTTAAGAAGGTCACCGATTTTGACATCTTCTTTCTTTTCCTGTACAAGTAGTAAACAAAAACAAGTTTAAGGCATCAATGATTGAGCAATATATAGTAGTTAAAAATCTCCATTCTATTAGTAACATTTTCTGATTAAAAAAATCAGTAACATTTTACACCTGTGTGGTACTCACCGATTTGAAAGGAATCACTGATATATGAGCATGAAGTTCGAATTTATCTTGCAAAGTCCTGGATGAAATGCAAATCAGATTTGTGCACGGACCGTACAGAAAAAGACAAGCATTTTGTATAAAAAGCAATATACATAGATAATTTTCATTTTTTTCTCCTCTCAATGTATATAAAATATTAATTAATACAACAAAGCATGAAATGACCTGCGCAAACCCTTCCCATACTCTCTCACTCCCCACTCCTATCCTCCCAGTTCAAAAAGAATGCCCAAATGCAGGTAACTTGCAATTACTTTTTGAACAAGCTAGCCAGTTCTCCTTTCTCATACATGGAGGTCAATATATCACAACCCCCAACAAGTTCACCATCTACAAAAATCTGAGGGAATGTGGGCCAGTTGCTATACTTTTTAAGTGTTTCCCTCAATCCGTAGTTATACTCTTCATCCAGCACATTTACACTCTCATAATCTACTGCTTCACTTTCGAGAATGGCTATCACCCTCTGTGAGAATCCACATAAAGGTGCACTTCTAGGGCCCTTAATGAATGCAACTACCTTGTTTTCTTTAACCAAGGTGTCAATAAGGTTCTCAAGAGGGACAGTTAATTGCATGTGGCGACCAGGTGTTAATCGAAGATCAGGCTTCCTTTTAGGTGGCTGCCTGACCCAAGTGGCATTTCCTGATTCATTGCCAGGTGGAACTTTTCCACTGACTTTTATGTACTCTTCCATCCAAGACTTCCATGCGTGGGTTAGAGCTTCTCTGTCTGGTTCCTCCACTATCCCAGCCTGCAACAAAAATTTTCACCAAGAAAAGCCCACCATCAGAAAAGTATTATAAGTGAAATCTGGAGAATAGTGATCTTACTCATTAAAAACATTTCAAGAAAAGCAAATTACTATGATGCGTTAAAAGAGAAAAATAGTTTCAGGAGATCGTATCACTTCCAAAACCGTTTATCATCTGTGCTTTTTAGTCTAATTAGTGGTCTTATATAATTTTAAAAAAGCAAAAAGAGAATTACACAGATTGTGATTTACGAGCTATTATTAACATGATTACTCTGATCATTTGTATTGTTTTCCATTTCTTTAACCGAAGTAGTTCATAGAGATGAGTAAATCACCTTTCTCAAAGCACCTAACTCAATTGGTTGAACAGAAGTGGCAATATTATGAGAAGACATAAGTCAAGGTTGGAAGGACTGATGTTCCTGGTTCATGCAACTCCAAATAAACTACACAGGAAAATTCCTATAAAGTATATAAACATCATTGGTGAACATCATCTAAGTTCTATTACAAGGTTAGGTCAATACTAACCTCATCCAGATCACTAGAAATAGAAAAAAAAGAACAATTTATACTGCAGTCTTCTAATTGTAAAACGAAGATCTGAACTCTCAAGCACTGTTTTATGTGGATTTAATCTTGGGCCGCACATTGTAAGAGATCATGTTCATGTAGAAGATATTTCATTCAATGAAGAAAAATTTCTTGCATTAACACAGCACTGAGACTATAAACCAAAGTAAGCAAATGAAGTTAAAAGGGATGTGGGCAAATAGGTATGCTACATAAAAACAGAGAAAGGATGAAAACAATCAGTCGGAGTAAAAATTTATTTCATCTCAACTGGCCTATGAATCAAACAACGAGGAATGCAAAAGGCTCAAAAGCACAATTATCAATTCATACCATTATACATTTTTTCCCTTTTCCTCATTTGACCGGGTAGTTGATACTATGCTTCAAGTTTCAACTACTTTTAAATGCAATTTCTGAAATTCCCAACTTCAATCATTGAGAATAGGAAGGTAACTAGCTAAGGGAAATTTGTAAAAAATCAATTTCCTTTCTCTTACATTGTATTCCACAAACCACAGTCCACATGTCTATAACTACCTTTCCCCCACGGAAATACTATCCAAGAAAGGAATTACTAGTTCCATAGTACTGCTGCCACTATGAATATTAAAGTTGGCTTATTTTGAAACTTGATAGTATTGAGGAAAAGTTTTAATGTTGTCCAATACAACACGGGTAGAGGAAGTGGGAGGCAGAAATCAACGTCCATTAGGGTATGTTGCCTTCCCTTGTCTAGAAATGGTGTTAAATAACGTAGTTGTGCTGATTAGCACCTTGTCAGTCTGTAGCTTGAATTTTATTACAGAGTGAACCAAAATCACAACACGCTGCTATATTCTTGCCATGGAAAGCATCGCCATCAGAATTTTCATGAACAAATCAAAAGTCAGTATTATCTTTTCCCTCCCTCAGCACTACAAGGAAGACT